CCAAAGACTAGACTGGGCCCCTCTGCTAAGACCTCTCATTTGCCTGTGGTTTTGTCGGGGATGTTACTCATCACCTCTGGGCCTCAGCGTCCTCATCTATAAAATGGAGGCAATGAGGGTGCCCACCTTCTCAGACCGTTGTGACTACCACATGGGTTCATGCATCTAAATGCTCAGAATGGTGCCTGGAACAGGGTGGTGCATTGTTCCCTGTTGTTGGGTGATGGGTTCACTCACCACTGGGTCCCCACACTGGGGTCCCCAACACAGACAGGGCTGGATAGGTAACAGCTGAGGGAGGGGGTACGTGGGGGTTGCTGTGAGGCTTAGGTAAGTCTTGCTCTGTAACTCAGTTCTTCCCGCTGTCTGTTTCCTGGGGTCCGCCTTGCCTCCCTCAATAGACTGGGATCATTCAAAAGATGCTCTGTCCTCCTACTTCCGTGACATCTTCTCTGTCTTAGCTCCCGCACCGCCCTCTGACCACCCCCTCCTGTCCTGTTGGCCCAAGACAACCTCTCCGTCCTGTCCCCTCACAGCCAGGCCCCTGGCCTAGGCCCCGGGGAAGAGCCCGCAGCCCGGGAACCAGCTCGCTGCCTGGCCGGAGCCGGGATTGGATTAGGCTGATTGGGTTACGGGGCCATGATTCCGCCGGCGGTCCCAAATGAGATCAGCGGTGCGCCAGCTCCGTGCCCTGCACCCGCCAGCTCAGCTTGCTCCTGGCAACGCAGGGGAGGAGGTGTTCCTCTCCAGTTTATTTCATTTTTTTTTTATAGCTGAAATCATAAGTGGCAGGACACCTGGCAGCTGGCAAGGCGCTCAACTGAGTTGCAAATGCAATTGTGGGGGCTACGGGTCCAGAGAGGAGCAGGCAGCTGGGACCTGGGGACCCAGCCCACCACAGCCTTAAGAGGAGCAGCTGGGACAGCGCCCCCGTGGCTGCTGATGCAGGGACCACGGGCACCCACAGTCCAGGCGGTGGGCCTCAGCTTTCCCACCCAGGGCAGGGGATTGACCTTGTCCCTGGAGGATAGGGAAGGCTGCGAGGCACGGGAAAGGGAGAGTGGGGTTTGTTCCTTCTCAGCTGTGGAAGATTCTGGAACACAGGCATGTGAGGAGCCCTCCTTGGGCGTCTACCCTAGACCTGCCTTAGGCTTGCCTGCTCTATGACCTTAATCAAGGTCTTTCCCATCTCAGCCTCAGTTTCCCCTTGCAGGCGGGCAGTCAAGGGCTCAGCGTAGTCACTGGCCACAGGCACTGAAATGGCTACAGTAGCAAATCTCAGGAGAGGTGGTGAAGGGACGGCTCTGCCCGCTGCCCCTGTAAGTCAGGGCGGCAGGGGCTCCGGGAGGTCTGTGCCCACACCCCTGCCCGGCACTCCCCACAGGGTGGCTCACGGGAGCAGAGATCCCAGCCCTCCTCACCCCTGTAGAGACCGCTATGCGGATGCCACTGCCCCTCCCTCGATGGGGGTGAGGCCTTGTCTTCCATTTTCAGGGCGCCCAAGTCCAGAGGGGGCTGCCCCTCCTCCCCACCCGCCTCAGGGGTCGCAGAACTTCCTCAGGGGTTCCCCTCAACCCCACATAGGCTTTCCCTGTTAGCTCCTCCCACAGGACACCCTAGTTGGGGTCCTCTTCCCACTTTTCTGCCCTCCCCTTGCACTGGGCTCTCAGAGCACCAGCCTTCTGGGTTTAGGACTATCGCTGGGGACAAACCCGTTCCATCCTCTGAGCCTTGGGGGGTAGGGGGGGAGGCGCTGCTGCAGGGCCTTCAGGTCACACTGCCCTGGGCTGAGGCTGCTGCCTGTGTCAGAGGCGTGTTTCAGGGAGGCCCAGGGGCAGCATGAAGGGAGAGGGCTCAGTGTGGAGAGGGGGAGGGCAGGGCCAGGCCCCGAGAGGCTCCCACAGGCCTGGTCGTGGATTTTGTCCTCCAGTCTAAGACTATGAGGAAAAGCAAAGGTTTTCAGAGGAGCTGGGCAGGTGATGTGATAGCACTTGCCATTTTTATTTTTTATTTTTCCCCTTTTATTTTTAGAAAGCGTGGAAGGGAGGGAGGGAGGGGGAGAGAAAGAGCGATACATCAATGTGAGAGACACACTGATTGGTTCCCTCCCTCACGAGCCTCGACCAGGGCTGGGGATGGAATCTGCAATCCAGATTCGTGCCCTTGAACGGGGATCAAACCCATGACCCTTCGGTCTGAGGGTCGATGCTCTAACCACTGAGCACACCACCCAGGGCAGCACTTGTCATTTTTAGAAATCTAAGGGCCAAGGGGGGCGGGGGTGCCGACAAGACAGAGACGTACAAGTCCATGTGCCATCGTCACTGTGCTCTGTGAGGGCAACACCTTAGGAGCACCGAGGCCCAGAGGGGCTGTGTGAGGTGGTCTGGAAAGAGTCTGAGCTTTGGAATTAAAGAGATCGGAATTGATATCTCGCTAGCTGTGTAATCTCAGGCAAGTGGCTTGGTCTCTCTGAGCCTCAGCTTCCTCCTTAGTGAAATGGGTGATATGTCCTGGCCCGTGTTGCTCAGCTGATTGGAGCATTGTCCCACACACCGAAAGGTGGAGGGTTCGATTCCGGTCAGGGCTCATGCCCAGGTTGTGGCACCTGCAGGAGTCAACTGATTGATGTCTCCTCTCTCTCTCTCTCTCTCTCTCTCTCTCATCAATAAAAAAAATCAATAGATAGCCCTGACTGGTTTGGCTCAGTGGATAGAGCGTCGGCCTGCGGACTGAAGGGTCCCAGGTTCGATTCCAGTCAAGGGCACGTACCTTGGTTGCGGGCACATCCCCAGTAGGGGGTGTGCAGGAGGCAGCTGATCGATGTTTCTCTCTCATCGATGTTTCTAACTCTCTATCCCTCTCCCTTCCTCTCTGTAAAAAATCAATCATATATATATATATGAAATAAATCAATAGATAAAGTGGGTGGCACTCATGGCTCTAGGTAGACTGCCTGATGAACTGTTACTTGGTAAAACCTCATTTCAGTGTTCCAGGCTGGGTTCTGTCTCCAAAGGAGTGAGAGGGCAGGGCCTCCTCCCCAGTTTAGGTCCAGGGATCTGAGCGCGTACACAGAGCCCCCTGAGCCCAGCGTGGTGGTGGTGCCAGTAGCTACTGCTCGTCCTGTGAACTTTCAGCTGTGGGAGCCACCCCTCCCGCCTGCCCCACAGGCTGTCCTCTCCTGCCACCTGCTGGGCGTCTGCCTCCGCTTTATTATGCACGGTTTTCCGGGACCCATGGGGCCAAATCACACATTGAACCCCACCTTGGGCCCTTGGGACCACGCAGCCCACTCTTGCTGGCGCTCAGAGTGCGGCTGCCAATTGTTTTCCCGTGAGGGCCAGGGTTCCCGAGTCTCCCGACTCCAGCCTCACCCTCCTGGGCCCAGCCCAAGGACTGTGGGAAGCTTGGCGTCTCAGGGGGTGGGGTGAGGTGGGGAGGAGACACCTGGGACAAGGAAAGGTGGGGAGGGGTTCAGGGACTCCCCTTATCTGGTGAGCCCCAAGAATGGGAGTGGGGCCCGAGGACACGCGAGGCCCCCCCAGTGCTTGTCAGA